GAGGGAGGAGCACCCCCAGGGAGGAGCACCCTGGCCTTGGAGGCCTCTGGCCCTGGGCACCATGGGAAGGGAGGAAGCTGAGGGTGGGAAGGAGGGAGGCTCTGCTGCCTGGGCGCGGGCCTGGTCCCTCGGGGGCCTGGCCACCTTTTGTGCTACACACTGCAGTGTTCAGGACGGAGCCTGGGGCCAGGGTGACGTCCTGCTCCTCCAGACGGGAGCGGCCGGCGGTGTGCTGGCCATGACATCTCACGTGGTCCTCACAGGTCTGCTCTGGGCCCAGGCAGGACAGCTCAGGGCGTGGGCCCTCGGGGAGCAGGCTTCTCCTCCAGCAGCGATTACCTTCCCTCGGACTGCGGGTCAACAGCGGTTGGTCTCCATCATGCATCAGGGGCAGGGCCTGCCGCCCCTCGTCCACCGGACACCTTGGAAGCACCTCAAGAGGGGTCTCAGGCCACTTCTGCGCTTCGGGGGCCTGAGATGAGGCGGAGGCGGGGGTACACAGCAGGTCCCGGGGGAAGGACGTGTCCTGCACAGAAGCCCATGAGGCGAGAGCCCGGCAGTGGGCAGGAAGTGCTGACCCAGTGACCTGTGGTCAGAGGCGCGAGGTTCTCTCCTGGAGGCCAGCTTGCTGGGAGGCTGACTCAGGGGCAGGTATAAGGGAGACCAGGTCACAGACTGGCAGGCACCTTCTCACAGTGACACACGGGGTGCCTCGCTACCCGGTCACGAGATGCCCCCATCCTGCAATGTCCCCTGGGCCCTTCCTGTCGCTCTGTGAGCTTGCTTACATGCGCTCCAGACACGCTGCACAAGGAGCAGCCGAGGTCCCTGCTGATTGCCAAACTCCGGGAACGAGAGGAAACCAACCCACCTGGTTATTGTGGAGACAGGGTCGGCCGGTAAGGCCCAGCGGGTGCTGGCCCAGGGCCACGAGGGCTGGGCTCCTCCTCACAGAGCCCAGGGGAGGGACAGGAGTCTTCTTTCAGAACTGATCCCCATTTCGAAGCCCAGCCGCCCTGCAGGGAGGGACGAGGTCAACAGGCACTTCCCACACCAGGGCAGCTGGCTCCCGGGTCTGGGTGGACATGGGGATCCCTGCAGGCTGGGCTCCTTTGGAAGCTGCCCTTGACGGTGCCGTGGGACCCTCTCCCCAGGCCACATGGAGACTTCCAGCCCCACCCACCGCTGTGGCTGTGCCCTGGCTGGCCAGAGCATCCGAGCAGATGGCCACCCTCAGAAGAGCCATGCCAGGAGCTGGCTCGGAGCCTTGTGGACACCACCCATGTGCCCAGGCAGGGGCTTCCCAGGGCACAGGACTTCCTGAGACCAGTCTGGGGAAACAACCGTTGGTCAGCTCACGTTTCTGGGGAGCCTGGGCTGAGCTGCCACCCTCTAGCCCAGCTCAGGCTCCTTGGCAGGCGGAATGCTGGACAGACCCCCCCTCCGGCCTGTGTTCTGTCCCTGAGCTGGCCTGCTGCAGGGCCCTGGACACGGTTCTCTCCCACCTTGCTCTCCCCTGGAGATCAGCACTCTCTGCACCCAACCCTCGCTCCAGGTTAGATCAGAAGCTGACAAAGTCCAGGAGGCCACTGTCCAGCCCAGGTTCTTAAGTTACACAGAAAAATGAGAGGTGTCTGCAGAGCAGCCTGGGGGGTGGCTCCTGGCTGCAGGACCTGGGCCTCGGAGCCCAGCAGGGAGCCGAGGGAGAGCCACTCCTGCCAAGGTGCCTGCAGGAGCTGAAGGGGACCCAGTGGCAGTGGGACTCCCAGGAGAGGATCAGCTCTCCCGGGTGCCATGCTCCCTGGGAAGCTGGCAGGCAGCTCTGTGGCTTCACCACAGCCACCCACCACCCAGTCACCAAGCACAGCAGTGACTGAGTCCCAGGACAAGACAGGCTGCCTTAGGACCTCTTATGACCCCTGACATCCCGGAGCCCATCCAGGACCACTCAGTGTGACCGGAGCACAGCAGAGCAGGTGGGCAGAGGCACCCCTCCCTCCCTCCAGCCTTGATGTCCACCCTGCCAGAGCAAAGCACCGCTGCAGGAGGACGCACATGCGTGTGCCACACAGGGCACACGGGCTTGTTGCAAACCTGGTGCACCTGGCCACACACCTGGAGGGATGCCCTGTTCCCCGTGGGCCCCCGCACCGGCAGCCACCTGGCACGTGGGTCACTTCTGTCTCAGAGTGCTCGGGCCACTGATGCTCCCCTCCCTGTGTGGGGAAGGGCACCCGCAGGTCACCCACCAGAGCGGCTGAAGCCACCGTGCCCGTCACCCGCCATCCTGTCACCCACCATCCTGTCACCCACCATGCCCTTACCACCAAACTCCTTCATCCCATCTGGAGCGCACCAGCCTCCTCAGCCGGGCGCAGCCCAGCAGAGCCTCTTCCGTTTAGATGGAGCCCCTCAGGCTCTGGGTGGGCAGCACACATCTGCAGGGGCCATCCTCCTGCCAACATGGAGCCTTGGCCATCAACCCAGTGGCTCTAACGCTGCAGCTGCCCCACCAGAGCCAGTGAGTGTGGCCAGGCAGGTGCACC